TATAAGAGTTATGATGCCAAAAAAAAATCAAGTTGACCATTACCAAGAGAAATAACAGTTTAAATTGATTAAAGAAAGTAGTCGTGAGCATCTCATGTAACCAGACTTTGCTTTAGCCATTGCCACATCAATCAAGAGGCCTCCTATAATAGGGCACACAATTGTACCTATTTGGGCCCTTCTTGGCTTCTCCCCAATCTCTACTGGGAGAGAAGGTACCCAGGAATCTGGTCCTCTCTTTCTTTATTATAGGTGTTAGGCTTATTTTCATTTTCTTCTCCTTTGGACTATGCCTTTACATATGCTTGTCCATGGTTTCTCGTTTATGTATAACTGGGGATGAGGTCATAGTATCGAAATTTATTTTTTGGTATTATATCAAAAAATAGTTATTAGTCATATAAATCTTATATAATAATAATAATATAAATTCATGATCATTGATTGTGAAGATAGTAAGAAACGTAATGGAATTTTTGTCATGTTGCAGTTGCGGTATCAACTATCAATTTAAAGAGCGCTAAAATATATTGGTCGTGACATCGTAATGCGATATCAGACAATACGATCTAAAAGAAAATGTTAAACATGACGAAAAATTCAGGTCATACCATAGTGTCGTGNTATATATATATATAGAGAGAGAGAGAGAGAGAGAGAGAGCAAGAATTAGTGAGTGAGAATTCATAATCAGAATTTGAAGTTTCAGTTCTTTTCCTAAAAAAATTGTTTGAAAGAAACATATTAAAGTTTTTCAAGCAACAATTGATGGATAAGTTAGTGAAATTATCGGAACAAAAAATAACCCAAATGACAAAAGTGATAGGTGAATGTTAGCTAAAAAAACACTAAACGGTTTTGACCAAACAACTCAAGATAGTATATAGAGACTAAAGTACGGTACATCCTTTGGTTTTTCAGTATGGTAACGAAAAATTAATGTCCACCGTAGATTCANTTATCGGAACAAAAAATAACCCAAATGGCAAAAGTGATAGGTGAATGTTAGCTAAAAAACCACTAAACGGTTTTGACCAAACAACTCAAGATAGTATATAGAGACTAAAGTACGGTACATCCTTTGGTTTTTCAGTATGGTACCGAAAAATTAATGTCCACCGTAGATTCATCTAACAACAAAAGTGAGCCGTTGATTAATGTGTCATTTCAATTTTTTTTTTTTTTCAAAGAGTAACCGGTTACATGTTGGTAGACAGACAACGTAGTCTTCTCCTAGTATATAGATTATGAGCTCTCTTCCCAAGGTAGTAGAAAGATTATAAGTTCTCCCCCCAAGGTTTAATGAAGGAGAATGTACTAAACAAAAGAAAATAACATCTAATGAGAGTTGGCATTGTCAGTTGCTAGCTTAAGCTTCTGTTCTTTATGCATAATAAATATAGAGATTATATTAAGGTTAACAGACCAAAGTACAAGTTTGAAAACTGTAAATGAATTAGGGCATAAAAAATGTTTCTTGTAGAAAAAGCTTGGGCAGGCTTTACACATAAATAAACACAAAATAATAATAATAATCAGTTTTTTATCAGCTTACAGTATTTTAAAACTTATTTCCCACTCTATTGTTTTCTTAATTTTTATCCCATTTATTTTAAAAAAAAAAAAAAGACCTCATTTGCTAATGTAAAAGCATGTATTATAAGCAAACAATGTTTTCTATTAAAGACTTAATTTATGATATATATATTTTTTTATTTAAAAGCATGAGTTAGAACTACATGGGTAAATATAAACGACAACATAACATGTAAATATGACAGAAACTCAACGTGAAATTAACAAATTAGTGTTGACTAAAGAACTTTAAAATGACATAGTACATTAACATGAATATTAAACGCGTTATGCTAATATTGAACACGAGCAATTGACAGAAAAAATAAAAATTGTATGTGTTTTATTTCTTTAAGATTTTGGTTCTTGCAAGCGAACCGAATGCGACATGATTAATAAATAATCAAATTAATGACAACACATTTAAATTAAATTAAAAAAAATGATACAGCCCTCAAATGTCACCCCCAAAGCAAACTTAAAAAAGATAAGCGATAACGCATATTATATTTTTACAACCGTAGGAGGTAGATAAGTGAAAATTTCAATAAATCGTAAATTTAGAAATTCTGAATTAAAAATTTGATAATCTTTTTAGAGTTAGACTATGAAAATAAATTTCTCGTGAATTAATTAGTTTAGACGTGAATGATGTACCTTTACCTGAATTAGTAAAGTAAAGTGTAAATTAAGCCACAGACATTTCCCCAATACTTAAAAAAACTATATTTTCAAGTTAGCTGTGGGGGCGGTTAATACTTAATCATCATGGGCTCTACTTGTTTGATGCAGTCGGGGGATATAAATGCAGGACCTTTGCTTATAAAGCTTTCTTTTTTAGTTACTTCTAACAAATACCCATTTCTGAAGCCTCCTTCTCTCTCTCTCTCTCTCTCTCTCTCTCTAGCTGTTCTTCAAAATCTGTATCTTCACCTCTGTGGTATTTTCTTGGACCATGAAACAATGACATTACATATCAGTTTAGCTGAACTGAAACAGAGAGGAGGGTATGAACTTTGATCAGTCATTACCCAACAAAGTTCAAGAGAACTTTTGCAACAGTGTAAAAAACTCCAAAATGGTGTACAGAGTACTAAAAGTAGCACAGAATCTGAAATTGGTACCTTTCTCTTGCCACTTTCTGTTTGGTCTTTCTCTGCTTCAGAGCTGGGCCTTTTTTCTCTGACTAGGGTTTTCATAGTAGAGTTTGAATGAGCATTTATGATACTGAAATCAATGTTTATGCTTAATTAACAGCTTCTGGTTACTTTTTTTTTTTTTATCTCTTTTTTGAGTTGGGTTTGTGTTTTCCTTGACTTTGGGGGGGCCTCTCCAGGGTAATTTGGGAGGACTATTTCGAAATGTGGCCTTTTTGTACTTAATTTTAGTGCTTGGTTTTTTGTTCCAATTCTCTATATTTGTGATTTCAGCTCATGATATGAAGTTTGTCATTCCTAAATTTTTATCAGCTGCTCCTGGGTGACTAGCCTGATTTTTAATATGGTAGTCTTTGTTTTCCGGTGCATTTAGCTTCTTTAAGAAATTTGTCTGCTAACCCTTAATTAACACACTGCTTTTTTTTTT